ATGTCTGGTCACCGCTCACCGAGAAACCGGGAAGTCCAGTGGTCTCGTAATGCATCGGAGATAAAAACAGCCGCTGCTCTCGGTAACCATCGGAAGTTATACAGTCTGCTAAGGAAACCAGAGACCAGGAGTGCTGGTGTCAGCGAGACCATACGCGACGAGAGTGGACAATCAATCAACAGTTTGTCAAAACGTCTGCAGCATTGAAAGCAGCGTAATCAACCTAAAATATCGTCTTTTCCGGCAAAGATTGCTATTCTCCCTGGGCCGTCTCCTTGTACCCACCCTGAGGCGTAGTAGTCGAACGTGAGATAAGACAGCTGAAAATGAATGAGGCCGCAGCAGCAGATTGAATTCATGCAGCGCTCTTCAAAATAGTTAAAACTAGTCTCATGGATGATTCGTATAACTTGACAGTGACGCTGTAGGAGCAGGAGATGGTCACAGCAGGCCGCAGCACCTTAGTTATAGACCCCATTGTCAAGGGGAAATAACGTTCTGAATGCGCTTATCACAAAGGAATCGGTCGGATTCCAAATGTCACTAAATTGCTTGTGTCTATGGTTTACAAACTGGCTGATACCCGTGAAATTCAGATTCGCGAGGACCAAGCCAGCTTTCGTCGAAGTCGATATCGAACTGACCATATCTTCATATTACGTAGTGTTAGAACACTACCGTATTTACTGGCCACCAACCATAGTCATGTTTCGCGTTATCAAAGATGCCTTCGATGTGCACTTCGGAACGTTTTGCTCGGGAAAGATGTGCCCGATAAATAAATAATTATTCGAGCGTCTTACGTGCATGGTTCGGACAGAGTGAGGGTTTAGGGCAAAATGTCGTCCAGTGCTGTGTGTAGGTCAACCGACGCCACCTTAATATTTGCTTTCGCCTTTGACGTAGTCATGGAAACCGCATTCATTTGGCACCGCCGACTTGGAAGGTGTGGAGCAGATTCCTGGTGATTGACTTCTTGATTTGGAGTATGTATGCGACAAAGCTCTTATATGTGACAGCTCAAACGTGCCATGCAGAACCGGATAAGTAAGCTATGGCAGTCAGTCGTTTTGGGCTATGCTTTGCACCTCGAAATTCAAATTCCCTCTCTAAGATTGGCAGGGACCGACTGCGCTGACCACTGGTGGTGAGCAGTTAGAAATCGTTCAGAAATTCAGATATCTCAACAGTTATGTTACCGTCCGTGGGATCGAAGATGAGGTCACCGACCGTGCAGCCAAAACTCAAAGTGCTTTCGTCAGTCTCCGCTGTGGCGCCAGCGTGACATCACTATTAACCTGAAGTGCAACGTTTACAATGCAGTCGTCCGTTCAACCCTCCTGTGCGGTTGCGAAAGCTGGGTACTCAAGTCAAGAGACATAAAGAAACTAGATAAATTCGATCATCTCTGCCTTCGCATTCAGTGGGAGCACCGCATGAGCAACGAACGTGTTCGACGTTGTGTATTTGGTGAATGAAGAGCAAATGAACCGCTCAACACACGGAGTCCCGCGAGGTGCGTTTTTAGCGCGGAGGAAAGAGGAGAGGTCAAGCGACGACTTGGTCAAAAAGAATGAATACCCTCACTTCGTTGCTGGCGTGGGTTGGTGCCTCCCGACTTCCGGGCTGAGGTGAATAGGGGGATGAACAAGTTTGGTTGGATACATCTGCTGACACAGTGAACAGCTGACCTCAAAAGCGTGTGTTGTGGGTTTCTTAGTCCCTCTTTCCGCTTATCTTCCTCCACGAGCCACGATCTGATGGGTAATATGAGATACCGCATTAGATTGCTTTGTTAACTTTTGTATTCTGCAACATTAGATATTCTTCTTTTTTGTATTGCGGCACATTAGCTGAGGTGTGTTCTTCACCCTCAGCCATCGTTATTGATACTATTGAGAATGGGTGTGCGATAAGTAGTACGCAGCATCACCGGTCTCAGCACACATTACGGAGGGAGATGTAGGTTGGAATGAAACAAAACGAAGATCCTGAACCAAGGAGATCCCCAAAAAGCGGTTTCTCGAAGCTCTATTCATCACAAAAATCCGACCAAGGTGGGTATCGAGATTGATCGCGTAAATGACCCAGTGATACATAAGGAGCACCGGTAATGGAAAACAGCAGTTCGGAACGGAACAATCGGCACCTGGACATTGAAAGGAATAGTCAACGTTCACCTAAATTGCAATTATTCAAATATGAATGCGCAACCCAATGAACAATCAATCGGAATAAAACGACGGTTTTGATACCGGATGCCAACACAAAGAATGGATTCGTAGCGACTTGTATCCTTGAAAGTACCGGTATCCGCAACGAAATCGACAACCCGCCTATAGAAAGGAAGTCAACTAGGCTGGTGACGAAACATCTGAAATCAAGATGCCCAGCATCATGTTTGCTCCGTCTCAGGATCGCATGGGTACATCCAATAATCGCACGGCGTGTGGACAAGTGAAAACAGAAAAATAACCGAAAGATTACAATTGATAACCAAGACAAAAACAAACGAACGATGAGATAGTGCTCCACATCAGACTGGGTACTGTGACTACCATTCATAATGAGAGCGAAAAATGGACATTTTTTGATTGGCAGTTATCAGAGCGGATTAACGGGTCGACACAGAAGTCATTTGAAAGTAGAAAGAATGAGGAGTCTAATTCAACTTACACAGGTGCTTGGGCTTCTTCATAGATGAGACACACGCCGGTGCTTCAGAATATGCAAGGTCATTGGTTCAGAAGTGTGCAGCAACCGCTGAAAAAGCAACAAATGCTCGCGTAAGTCTATGGAAACACACATATGATGATAACTGGGTTGTGGTTAGAAGAACAAAATGCGCTAGTCGCGATGACGTGAACAACAAGAAATGGACATATCCAGCCGCTAGCCTTTGACAAAGTTCCCAGGAAAGTATATATAATTAAATGATTCTGGAATGATGTTCAAGAAAGCAGAATCAGTCGAATAATAAACGGCAAAGATTGTGAACGGGTGACAAGGCGTGCGAGTTGGTTGAGCGAATCAATCGGTCAAACTCTGAAAGGTCACGCGCCGCCTGTGGCCAAACGGGACGGAGGCATATAATGTTCACGTAGCGATTGTTCTAGCGGAATGAGGACAGTCACAGATATCTGGAGACGAAACGGAAGCCATTTATCATTCTGAGATAGGCCAGAAGCGAGGTCTGTGATGGCTCAATTGACGGTTAGTTCATTATGTAACATTCGTGGCAAAAGATTAGTCCTAATTGCAACACCACACAGGATATGGCGCGAAAATCACTGAGACATCGACAGCAATGTCCATGTTTGCAAACATTGCACATGTGTTATTTTACGGCAGCTCACATGTGCACGTGAAACTGAAAGTATCGAAGACAAAGCTCTCTCTGCTTAAGCATGAAGTAGCATGATTCTAACCGTGGGCTCGTAAGAAAGTTTGATCCCGAGCTCAAATCTTACAGGGAGCAGATGGAATGAGCACATCTCACGACTCCCGAAAGAATGAAACAGCGGTCCATCACGATGAGTGGGTATGGATGCGAGCAATCTTCGTCGGTAAGTTAACCTAGAGCCCAGCCATCACAGACCTCGCTTCTGGCCTATCTCAGAATGATAAATGACTTCCGTTTCCGTCTCCAGATATCTGTGGCTGTCCTCATTCCGCTAGAACAATCGCTACGTGAACATTATATGCCTCCGTCCCGTTAGGCCACAGGCGGCGCGTGACCTTTCAGAGTTTGACAGATTGATTCGCTCAACCAACTCGCACGCCTTGTCCCCCGTTCACAATCTTTGCCGTTTATTATTCGACTGATTCTGCTTTCTTGCACATCATTCCAGAATCATTTAATTATATATACTTTCCTGGGAACTTGGTCAAAGGCTAGCGGCTGGATATGTCCATTTCTTGTTGTCCACGTCATCGCGACTAGCGCATTTTGTTCTTCTAACCACAACCCAGTTATCATCCTGTGTGTGTTTCCATAGACTTACGCGAGCATTTGTTGCTTTTTTTCAGCGGTTGCTGCACACTTCTGAACCAATGACCTTGCATATTCTGAAGCACCGGCGTGTGTCTCATCTATGAAGAAGCCCAAGCACCTGTGTAAGTTGAATTAGACTCCTCATTCTTTCTACTTTCGAATGACTTCTGTGTCGACCCGTTACTCCGCTCTGATAACTCCAAACCAAAACTTTTTGTCCGTTTTTTCGCTCTCACTTATGAATGGTAGTCACAGTAACCCAGTCTGATGTGGAGCACTATCTCATCGTTCGTTTTATTTTTGTCTTGGCTATCAGTTATTAATCTTTCGGTTATTTTTTCTCTCGTTCATCCTATTCCAGCCACGCCGTGCGATTATTGGATGTACCCATGCGATTCCTGAGACCGGAGCAAACATGATGCTGGGCAATCTTGATTTCAGATGTTTCGTCACCAGCCTAGTTGACTTCCTTTCTATAGGCGGGTTGGCGATTTCGTTGCGGATACGGTACTTTCAAGGATAACAAGTCGCTACGTATCCATTCTTTGTGTTGGCATCCGTATCAAATAACCGGTCCGTTTTATTCCGATTGATTGTTCATTGGGTTGACGCATTCAATATTTGAATAATTGCCAATTTAGTAGTGAACATTGACTGTTCCTTGTCAATGTCCAGGTGCCGATTGTTTCCGTTCCGCGAACTGCTGTTTTCCATTACCGGTGCTCCTTATGTATCACTGGGTCATTTACGCGATCAATCTCGATACCCACCTTGGTCGGATTTTTGTGATGAATAGAGCTTCGAGAAACCGCTTTTTGGGGATCTCCTTGGTTCATGATCTTCGTTTTGTTTCATTCCAACCTACATCTCCCTCCGTACATGTGTGCTGAGACCGGTGATGTTGCGTACTACTTATCGCACACCCATTCTCAATAGTATCAATAACGATGGCTGAGGGTGAAGAACACACCTCAGCTAATGTGCCGCAATACAAAAAAGAAGAATATCTAATGTTGCAGAATACAAAAGTTAACAAAGCAATCTAATGCGGTATCTCATATTACCCATCAGATCGTGGCTCGTGGAGGAAGATAAGCGGAAAGAGGGACTAAGAAACCCACAACACAAACGCTTTTGAGGTCAGCTGTTCACTGTGTCAGCAGATGTATCCAACCAAACTTGTTCATCCCCCTTTTGACCTCAGCCCGGAAGTCGGGAGGCACCAACCGACACCAACAACAAAGTGAGGGTATTCATCCTTTTTGACCAAGTCGTCGCTTGACCTCTCCTCTTTCCTCCGCGCAAACAACACACTTCGCAGGACTCCGTGTCTGGGCGGTTCATTTGCTCTTCCTTCACCAAATACACGACGTCGAACACGTTCATTGCTCATGCGGTGATCCCACTAAATGCGAAGGCAGAGCTGATCGAATTTATCTAGTTTCTTTATGTCTGTCGACTTGAGTAGCCAGGTTTCTCAACCACACAGGAGGGTTGAACGGACGACTGAATTGTAAACGTTTCGCTTCAGGTTAATAGTGATGTCGCGCTGGCGCCACAGCGGAGACTGACGAAAGCGCTTTGAGTTTTGGCTGCACGATCGGTGACCTCATCTTCGATCCCACGGACGGTAACATAACTGTTGAGATATCTGAATTTCTGAACGATTTCTAACTGCTCACCACCAGCGGTCAGCGCAGAGGTTGGTCCCTGCCAATCTTAGATAGGGAATTTGATTTTCGAGGTGCAAAGCATAGCCCCAAACGACTGACTGCCAGAGCTTACTTATCCGGTTCTGTATGGCACGTTTGAGCTGTCACATATAACAGCTTTGTCGTGTACATACTCCAAATCAAGAAGTCAATCACCAGGAATCTGCTCCACACCTTCCAAGTCGTGCCCAATGAATGCGGTTTCCATAACTACGTCAAAGTCGAAAGCAAATAGGAAGGTGACATCGGTTGACCTTCTCACAGCACTGGACGACATTTTGCCCTAAACCCTCACTCTGTCCGAACCATGCACGTAAAATGCTCGAATAATTATTTATTTATCGGGCACATCTTTCCCGAGAAAACGTTCCGAAGTGCACATCGAAGGCATCTTTGATGCCGCGAAACACGACTATGGTTGGTGGCCAGTAAATACGGTAGTGTTCTAACACTTCGTAATATGAAGATATGGTCAGTTCGATATCGACTTCGACGAAAGCTGGCTCAGTCCTCGCGAATCTGCATTTCACGGGTACCAGCCAGTTTGGAGAACCATAGACGCAAGCAATTTAGTGACGTTTGGAATCCGACCGATTCCTTTATGATAGGCGCATTCAGAACGTTATTCCCTTGACAATGGGGTCTATAACTAAGGTGCTGCGGCTTGCTGTGACCATCTCCTGCTCCTACAGCTTCACTATCAGGTTATACGAATCATCCATGAGACTAGTTCTAACTATTTTGAAGAGCGCTGCACGAATTCAATCTGCTGCTGCGACCTCATTCATTTTCGGCTGTCTTATCTCACGTTCGACTACTACGCCTGAGGGTGGGTCCAAGGAGACGGCCCAGGGAGAATAGCAATCTTTGCCGGAAAAGACGATATCTCAGATTGATTACGCTGCTTTCAAAGCTGCAGACGTTTTGGCAAACTGTTGGTTGATGGTCCACTCTCGTCACGTGTGGTCTCGCTGACACCAGCACTCCTTGTCTCTGGTTTCCTTAGCAGACTGTATAACTTCCGATGGTTACCGAGAGCAGCGGCTGTTTTTATCTCCGATGCATTACGAGGCCCACTGGACTTCCCGGTCTCTCGGTGAGTGGTGACCAGACATATGTGCCCACGTCGACGCAACTTGTTGAGTGCTACCTATTGTTCTAAGGAACTAACATGATTATAACTACCTAACACTCGCCTGCAGATTCAACAAAAGCGGTTGTAGCTTTTGCATTGGGTGAACTGACGCTAGTCCTTATGCACCCATCGTTGCCGATGCAGCTGTCTAGGTAGGCGAAATACTCAACTACGTCGATTTCCTCGCTCCTAATGGTCAAGGGGTCATCAAGTGGTTGGTGGTCCTGTAACAGCACTTTGTACTTTGAACATGGCGAGGTGAGTGTCAAATGATGTGATCATTCTCGAGAGGTTATACTGGGTTGATTGCGCCGCCCCAACATCGTTAAAAAGCAGGACAATATCGTCCTCATAATCAAGATCAACTAGCTTTGCACCAGACAGCGCCTCAACGCCTGCATCGTGAGGCTCCGCAACTGTACACCCCATGATGGAGTCCGCCAGGAAATTGAACAAAAATGGTTAAATTTGACAACCTTGACGAACGCCGCTTGTTGTCGGAATGACATCTGACGAATCACCATAGATCCTGATGCGGCCTGTTGTGTTTGAGTACATGATACGTAAGCTGTTCACATACTACATGAGAACACCTTTCTGCGCAAGTTTTTTAACCGAAATCATCGGCCGACTGAGTCGAACGTACTATTGTAGTAGAGAAACAGCTGTTGTCGGTTTACGATACTTGTAGCGCTGTTCCAACACCTGTCGCAAAGTGAATAAGTGGTCTGTACTGCCCCACTCTAGATGTTAACGTCTTTTATCTCCCCTGATCCTGTATTCCCGTTCCACAGTGAGGTGGCGAACGAGAACTGAAACCAATAATTTTGTCACTACCGGCGTTAAACTGATGTCCCTGTAGTCAGCACAGTTGATGTGACTGTTCCTCCGGTTTGTTGCCGCGATAATAGATTGTCTCTAAGTGACTGGGATTATCTCTACCTTTCACATCTTAACAAACAGGGAGGTCAGTGTTTTGCAGAGGACCTCTCCACAATCCTTAAATAGTGCGGGTGCGAGGGAATCCAGACCAGCAGCACGAAAACAATTGGGGGCTGCGGTCACGTTTCGGTCCTCAGCATCCGATAGAGCTTCTTAGCTAGCCGACCATGACATAGCCTGCGCCAACTGCGTAGGAAGAACTCCGAAAGCAGGAGCCCGATTGAACTGCTTTTAAAAGTGCTCCACCCAAGCAGCCATACAGCTCTCCTTATTATAAGTCGATGCACCCGCGCCATCTCTGATTGTCTCACTTACGCCTGTTTTTCTGGGGCCAGTGGTGCGGATCATTTGGAAGAGCTTGCGATAATTGCCTACTGTTCTCTTCCTCCATTTCTTGGGTCCTACTTATCCACCTACTAATCCACCAGTACGCAGACTCCATTTGAGTTCGCACCTAATATTCCGTCTAGTTAGATTGTGTTCAGAGCCAGCCAGGAGTTTTCTTCTGGATTCCAACAGGTCCGTTTAACAACACTGACGTGACAGATGTGACTCGCCAATAAATAAATTCACCGCCCTGGCTTTACTTAAGCAAAACATTGTAATTCCTCAGATGGAGTCTGAATCTCTGAATGGACTGGGCCCCATTTTAGCAGATCGCCAAACAAAAAGCGTATGAACCCAGCAATCGATCACCGGCTCCCAGTGGACGCGATCTCCTGATTTCTCGTCGCTATTCTGAGAGTATGCTATTGAGCCAAAGGCTCGGAGCAGAGTCCCCTAAATCAACCCTCTACCTCGGCCTGGTCAACTGGGTAGTATCATACCCGCTGAGAAAAACCATGGATTTACCTTTGTTTCACGCATCTGCTCATGCTGCGTTTGTCATTCCATCACATGCCAACATTACATTTTTTGTCAACCCCACTACCGTTAATTTTAGCCCTGACGTCGGCTTTGCCGATACCCGAAAAGCTCAATCGACAGTCCTACTTCAACCTCGATTTATGTTTCGATTAACCTGTCTCAACGTACGGGCGCTCACACAGATTGGTCAACCAGCCGGCCTGGCTTGTACCCTGGAGTCTCTTGCCATTGATGTTTGCTGCGTTTCCGAAACCCGGTTGCAGGATCCCAGCAGTGTACTCAGGTTGATGTCCCCTTCTGATCGCGGAACCATATACCAACTGCGTCTATCCACTGACGCAGAAGCAGCTGCAGCAGGTTTGGCTGGCGTTGGGGTAGCACTAAGTAAGAAAGTGAACTTGACTGGTTACCAGTTAACAGTCGGCTATGCGCACTTCGGCTTCAGGGATCATGTCGTACCACGAGA